TTTGGATACTCTTCAGCAGGATTTCAACTTGGGTGTGATACTGTTTGATAATTTTCACACTCTGCTGGATCATCTTTTTTTGGAATAGGATGTGCCAAAAAATAGCCAAAAAAAAAAAAATCTCACATCAAGGGCAAGTAATCTGGAAGATAATCTTAAACAGTGAGGATAAAATTCAGGAAGTGGCTCAGGTTTAAGAAGAAGTAAATATAATTATAAATTATTGGTTTTCATGTCCTGAAAGCAAGAGAAGAAGAACTTTAACAAGATGGAATGATATAATGGGCTCAAGTATGTCAGAAATGATGGGGATGGCACAGGATAGGACAAAGTTCAGATCCATTGTCCATGAGGTGGCTGTAAGTCATACTCGATGGCAACTAACATCAACATTTTAAAACAGTCCTACTCACCTCTGTAAACTTATAGACTAATGTCTATCCAAAAACCTATCCACTCAGTCTAGCTAGCATCACCAGGATATAAACTCAATTCAAATTCATTGCCAGTGAGCTCAAAGCAACTCATAACCGATACTCTGGCGGATTTCAAATGCTGTAAACTGACAGCATGGGAAGAGATTCCCTATCTTTCTCCCAAGCAGGTGGTGGTGGACAGGAATCACCAGAGAAGTGCTGCATTTGGGTTAACAATTGAACGCTCTAGGACTGTGCCACAGAGCTCTCTTAGATCTGGCTTATCGAGAAGCAGTAACTCTTTTCTTTCTAGAAACCCCCAAAATATATCCTAGATGTAGTATGTTTTAATTTCCATCCATATCAAGGCAGTCCACACTGTTATCATCTTTAAAGTGCAGTAAGTACCCTTCTAAATAGCCCCATTTCTACTCTTGCCTCTTCTTTGATCAATATTTTATGTAGGAAGCCCAACAAATTGTTGTGAAATGTGAAAGAGACAGCATGGCTTCCCTGCTTTGAACTTGTTAATGGCTATTCATTATTCTTGAAATAGCTCTTTGCTATTATCTACTGATGTTGTCATTGTGTGCCATCAAGTTGATTCACAGCATGACCCACGTGAAAGAGGGAACTACTCTAGAGGATTTTCTTGGCTGTAATCACTAGTTCTTTCTTTCACAAAGGTGTAGCTGCTGTTGTTACTATATGCTGTCGAGTTAAATACAACTCATAGAGACTCTATCGTTGTTGTTGTTGTTGTTGTTGTGTACCACTGAATCAGAACCGATCCATAGCTGACCCTCCAACAGGTTTTCAGAGACAATAAATCTCACAGGAGAATGTACATTTTTCTCCACAGAGCAGCTGATGGATTCTAACTGCATACCTTTGGGCTGGCAGCATAACTCCTTACCACTAAGCCATTGCAGACCTCTGAGTTAGCAGCTGAACAATATCAGACCTCCATCATCATGATCTGCCACATTCCAAAGTTCCAGTTCCTCACTCCACCACCATCTCAAATCATTCTCCACTTGTCTACTCTGCTCTAGCTATTTCAACTCCCTTCTCCATTTCATTAATATGCCAAATCCTTCCCCCAGCAGGACCTCTGCATACACAGTTCATTCTTCCAAGAATAGTATTTCACAGATTCCTCATAAAAATTATTTTTTATTTTCAAGTGTCGCCTCAAATGTGATACCCTACTGACCATCTCAATTGGAGGAGTCTTCTTTCAAAACACAAATCCAAGTTATTCTCTATCATATCACTTTAAATTGTTTTTTTGTGCATGGTAGTTAGAAAATTCTCTTAATTATATGACGTATATTTCAATCTCTACCCACTAAAATGTACACTCAAAACAGAAACTTCTATCTTCTTGCTCACCATTTTGACTCATTATCTACCTCTGTACCAAGATTCTTTGCTGAATATTTTCTGAAAAAACAAGTGGTCTAAATAAAATCTGTTGAATATAATCTTCATAATTTATATTTTCATGCATAAAAATCCTAATGTGATGTACACACACAAACACAAATCACCTTGTATTTACACACAGACAGAATTATTAGTCTTGGAAGTTTTACAGGGATAGAAAGGGAGGAAGAGTAAAAATTAATAAGCAGGTCAGCGGGGTGACAGAAGGGGAAAAGAAAATGTGCTAAAATTTAATTGTGATGACAGTTGCAGAACTGTAAATTTATGCCCTTTTGCTATACAAATTATATCATAATAAAGATATTTTTTAAGCTTTATAAGAATGTTCATAAGAACTTTATTCCTAATAATAAATCTAGAAACAAAATATTCATTCAAAGGAGAATGAGCAAACTAATTACAGTATGAAAATACAGGGAATATTATTCTGCAATTTTTAAAAAATAATGAATTAGTAATATAATGCCTTAAGAGCATCATTTTTTTAAAAAAGGAACAAAACCAAATAAGTATATTTTCTTTATTCACATACAATTAAAGAAGAAAACGATACTCATGAATGGTGTCACTAAAAATAGCAATTAAACTGGGAAATGGAAATGACCTCTATCTTCACAGGTTGGTGTACACATTTATAAAAACTGATTCGGTATATTCCCTATATGTGGAGGAAAAGATATATTTATAAACAAAACAGAAATCCCTAAATTTACTCATTCAAGTATCACATAAAATGCAGAATCTTAAAAAAATGGAGTCAGACTACTTTTGATGAGATTAGTGATCAATGTATTTGTTTGGCTCTAATATTTATCTGATAGGAAAAAAAGACTGGACCAAACAAATAAAAGAGACTCAAGTAACAACATAATGAGAAATTTATCACTGTCAACAGATAATTTATTATGCATTTACATACAGGTAAACCACGCAGAACAACTATGATGCTGATGCTGTGTATCATCAAGTCAGAACCGACCCATAGCTGATCCTCCAATGGGTTTTCAGAGGTAGGGGAAGAGAATGTCCATCTTTCTCCTATGCAGCAACTATTGGATTCTAACAATGTGCCTTTGGGTTCACAGCGCAGCTCTTAACCACCAGGCAGCTAGAGCATCTGGGTAAACCATACAGCACTACACGACTATGATCGAAAACATAAACCATTACATAAACAACTGGATAAGGACTAATCATCATGTTAATGAGACAGTCAGGGACATTGAGTGATCATGTGACCTGTGAGATCCAGCATGTACTATGATTGGAATGAGCATGAATGCCATGGTTTCAGTTACCTTCTACATCTCAAAACACCTAACGAATGCTACACATGGACTCATGATGGCAAACGAACACATTAAAGCAAAAGACAATGTGAAACTTTGCATAATGAGAACTCAAATTTATTAATTGATGTTTTTGACCATCTCATTACATAGCTTCACATCAAACAACAGTAAAAAAGGACTATCTACTATTTTGCACATTACTAGGCTTTATTCCTGTGTCTAGGTCTACCAGGCTCACAGGTAAAGCAGTCAGCTTTCCAGAATGACTCTGGTTAGCTCCCCATCATCTACCACTGGAGTCACCACTGCAGATATTTGTGCAAAAGAAGTGACTGAGGAAGAGTTTCCAAGACTCCTTCCAAGAATGGCCCATAAGTGGCCACAGGAACCCAAAGGGAGGTGAGGTTGGTGAGGCTGCTGCAGCTGCTCTCTACTCAGGTGCCCAGGAGGGAACTAGTTCAGCAGCAGAAAAGGGACTGGGGCTAAATGTGAGCAGCTAAGCTTCCAGATTCTGGGTCACCAATTCCAAGCCTTCTAGGATCAGCATAACGTCACTCAGGGAGAGCAGGTGACATTCTGAGCTCCATAATAATGGCTGCTGGGGACATGGACATCGATGGCAGCCCTCACCAAATACCTGGGTCATTAGCCCCGCAAGATACCCAACTCCAACAGTCACAAACAGGCCTCGAGTACCAACTGCAATCCTCGAGTACCAACTACAATGAAAAGAGTAAATCGGAGCACCAGTCCATATGACAAAGACTTAGAGTCTAGAGCATAGCATAGTGACTTCCACTAACAGGTTTTCTGAGGCTGTAAACTGCATGGAAAGAGACTGCTCATCTTTCTCCCACTGACACTGGTGGATTTGAACCACCAGAGAGGTTGAGTTTGGGTTTGCAGTGCAACTCACTATGGACCACACCACCAGAGATCCCTAACACCTGAATGCAACATGAAAATTAAGCATCTAGAGCTATACAGTCCGAATAACAATCATAAGATATACCGAACTTAAAATGGGCACATAAGGGAGCTCTGGTGGCCTAGTGGCAAGAAGCTGAACTGCAATCCTGAAGGTACACAGTTCTAATCCACTAGATACTTTGCTGGAGAAGGAGGGGCAATCTCCTCCTGTGCCAATCGAATCTGATTTGATGGTACACAACAAGGAGGGGAGGGGAATGGTCACTTAAAATGTAGGTAATGCAAATGTAAAGTTGACTTTTCAATTTCAGTACATTTATATTAATGTTAACTTTAAAACAGTTACTCATCTCAATTAAGGGAAATTTTAAGTATAGCTGAATAATTTAAGCACCTAAATCGGTTTTCAACTGTTAATTTTAAGAAATCTAAATACAAGTGAAATATGTGTAAAATACGAACTAATTTTAAAGACTCACTAGATAGAGTGTGTTTGAGACGGCAAGGTTGGCACAGGATAGAATGGCATTTAGGGCTCTTGTACATAGGGTTGCTGTGAGTTGCAAGCGACTCGATGGCACATAACAACAACAACATAAAGAGAATGTAAAATAGCTCTATAGTAAATTTTCATAGACTGTTCGTGAAAATGATAGTTTGGATACACTGGATTAAGTAAAATATATTATTTTCATTCATTTCACCTGCTCATTTTTCCCCTTTTAACTGTACCTGTTGGAAAGCTTAGAAATATGTATGTGACAAATACTACACCTCTATGGGATAGTAATACAGAAGAAGTAGTAGTAAAGAAGACGACTATAGTAATACAGACTAGAAAATAAAGTATATAAAAGCAGATTAAAGACACCATTAAAATGCACTGATTATTAATATTCAAGTAATTCCTGACCTTTTCACTTGATTGTCTTCTTTTCTTTAGCTGAACAAAATCGGTTTCTACCCTTTCTGCAAGCTCTAGTTTCCTCTTGTTTCTTTTAAATGCAGCTAAACTGAATCCTATAAAAGAAACATTAAAAACAGCATTTAAGGATTAGGGCAATAAGATAGACTAGATACCTTGAAATACCTTCCCAGAAGAAAATCCTTAAAAATGTTGAGTAAAAGATTAATTTTTTTTTTCAATGTACACTGATGTTTTGGATGACAAAGAACATAAAGCTACGTCAGATCCAGAATGACAAAAAAGCCCTGAAATAGAACCTACCTAGTGGTATCTGCTGATTGTTCCACTTCTCCCTTTTTTTTCCCCACTTCTACCTTTATCTCGGAAAAATCTTATATAGAGAACAAAAAAGGGAACCTCACAGCAGTGCATCATGGGAAAACAGGAGAAAGACCCTCAATGGAAGTGACACACTGCAACAACAGACTTGAGCACGACAAGCATGACAGAGACCGTGATGACGGTGCATGGACGACACAGAACTCAGCAAGGTTCAATCTGCTGTTCGCAGGATCACTATGAGTGGTGGCGGTTTTGGTGGTATCTAACAATAACTTTAACCATCACTGAGACTTAATACAATTTTCTTCAAAGTTTAAACAAGCAGTTTAATAAAAGATAACATTTCCTTTTTTTAATTTTTTATTAGTTTTCTTAGTTTGTATACACTGTTTCACATTATTCTTCATTCACATTGTGTTTTATATAATCATTCCCATGAATTATGTTTTATAAAATTAGGGAGCTCTGGTGGCCTAGTGGCAAGAAGCTGCACTGCAATCCCAGAGGTACACTGTTTGAATCCACCAGATGCTCTGTTGGAGAAGGAGGGGCAGTCTCCTCCTGCACCAGTCAGATCTGATTTGACGGTACACACACACAAAATAATAAAATAAAATAAAAAAATTAATCACCACTTTACCTTGCCCATCCTTACCCTGTCTTTTCAGGTCCCCACCAGCTCCTTCCCATTTTCTTCACCCCATTATCCACAAAATTGGGCAACCCTGCAGTTTCACCTCTACCCATTCTCACCTCTCTGCTCCCAACCCTTCCTTCCCTTGGGTCCCCAAACATGTTTTCTTGGTTATCCTTCTATTTTTATAATAATGGTTAATACAGTGTTTGTCTTTATGAGACTGAGTTAGTTCACTCAGCATAATGCTCTCCAGTCTTAACCAAGTTATGTGTTTTTTTAAATCATTGCTCCTAAATGATATCTTTAAAAAACAAAAAATCAAAGCAATAGTTTTAATCACATGTCAGTATCTTTCATTTTACAAAGATGAATGTCTATACATAGGTGGACCGATGGACAGTTAAGACAAGAAAAGACAAACAAGTCAACGTTTCTATATATACACATATACTGCAATTTTCAAATAATCCAATTTATGCAGAAAATATTTCCTATTGGTTGGTTATAGAAATCTGTGACAAATTATTATTTTTCTGGCTACAGATAAAACCTTTATATACAATTAAAACTAAAATCTACTAATAGCTTTAGTAAATGTTCTTATGTCAAAGTATCAAACTAAACAAGCAAGTTTATTTCCACATCCCACTAAAACTCTCCTTAAATTCAGGGAGAAACAAATTATATATACAAAGTGATGAAAACAAGATCAACATAACTGTGGAAAACAGCCACAGCCAGCAGGTGCCCAAAAGTAAAGTGAAGAACAAAATGAATTCCAATATCTACAGTAGCCAAGATATCGCAAAGCAAACTAATCTCTCCTGAAATAAACTAAATGTCTAAAAAGAAACATTAAATCTCAGACTATAAGGTCTTTGGTATCTCTGAAAGTCAAAACGGAGCTCAAAATAGAAAGAATGGCAGAACTTGTCAAAAGCTAGCATTTTCATGTTCACACCCCTCTTTACACGAGCAGAAAACTTCAAGTTTAGTCTTAAAGAGATGGGCTCCAAAGCAGCAGGCACAGCTGGGCCAAGTAGCAAGACATCTACTGAAGGCAGTTTACTAAGTCTGAAAAGAAAAGAGCATGATTGCAAGCTCTGAAAATGTCTGTGTGGGTAAAAAAAATCTTTAGAAAAGGAAATCTTTAGACATTTGTTGACGAATGTAAGAGTGCTTCCTCAACAACAACCACCACCACCCATCTGAGGACACACCTAGCATGAAGCCAACCAGATATACTGTCATATACAAAGCCTACAAAGGGCTTTTAAATGCCCCTTACATTTTCATGAAACAGTCGCTGGTCATAGTCAGTCAAGGAAACTCTCTAACAATTAATAGGGAACAAAAGAACAGAACAGCAAAAAAAAAAAAAAAAGAGAGAACGACAAAGCACAGTTTAAAAGGTTTTAAACCACTATTTCCACCAGCTACTGCTAGTGGGAAAGGTAATCTCCTCCTGTACAATTTACACCCTCTGAAAACCCACCGGAGGGTCAGCCATAAGTTCCTTCAGACTCAACAAGTGAATGATAGCTCAAGGAGGGAACTCTGGTGGCATAATCCATATAGAGTTGCCTCTCTGGTGTTTGAATCTTCAGTGGCTCCTTGGGAAAAAATGGGTACTCTCCTCTTATGCAAATTACAGCCTCCAAACCCACCCCCCACCCCCCACCCAGAATGTAAGCTATGAGTTAGCTAAGGCAAACGCTATCACTTTCTACTGAATTCACCAGAAGCTTCATGAGAAAACAACGGGCAAACTCCTCTAGTGCTTTTTACAGCCTCAGAAACCTGCCAGAGGATGAGCTACGGATGCAGTTTTGCCTCAACATCAATAAGTTATTATATCCTAAGAAATAAGCAAAATATTGAATTTATGAAACAAGAACCTAACCAAAACAAAGCTACAGCCATCCAGGCAATTTCAAGACTATAGGACAGGAGAAAGGCACAAAAGGGTTCCAATGCTCTGTAAATCTTCACAGAACACTGTCACATTTTTCTGCTGTGGAGTCTGAGCCACTAACTTTATGGTTAGGATCCTGACACTTGAGTCACTATGCCACCAGAGCTAGTGGAAATCAATATTTTCTGTCTCCACAAGGGATCAATTCAAGAGGATCATGTGGAAATATGAGACAAGGAACATAACAATTGATCAGTCTGCATATACAGTTTTGGGCTCAAGAAGTAGATTCTTCATTCAATATTTCCACTTGGGAGGTCTAACAGAGGTTCTAACAAAGGAGCTTCTCCATGAATTCTGACTCAACAGCACATAACATTAGAGGATGTAACAGAGGCTAGTAAAGGATCAGATTCAGTAGGTTCACTAATGCATCAATGGCATGATATATCAAGTTAAAATGGAATGCCAGACATACTTTGGGATATGTAGAAGGTATCCATAAGCTTATTAGATTGGATTTATCAGGTCAGAACCACAGAATTAGTCATGGAATACCCAAAAGATATACTTGTTATCTTAACAGAGAGAAACAAATTTGTGAAGGTAGCCCCAGCATCCTTGAAGAGTGCTGTAATTGCCATTTTATATAAACCAGATTTAAACAGATCAACTATCCTAAAGAGCTCTGGAGCTCAGGTGCTAAGAAACTGGGCTGCAATCCCAAAGGGACACAGTTTAAATCCACCAGCTGGTCCACTGGAGAAGGATGGGCAATCTCCTTCTGTACGATTGATTAACTCTGAAAAGGCGCTGGAGCGTTTCAACTCAATGGTATACAACAACAAAACTGGCTGGAGGTATAAGGCATACAGAACTTGCATGAGTCATTTCCAACTCAAGAGCGATGAAGAACTGAGTGAGTACTCAGAGTAACATCACTGCCTTTAGGAAGCTCTGGTGGCCTAGTGGCATGAAGCTGCACTGCAATCCAGAAGGCATGTGGTTACAGGCCACCAGGTGCTCTGTGGAAGAAACATGGACAATCTCCTCTGTGTGATTAACTGCCTCTGAAAACCGACCAGAGGGTCAGCTATGGGTCCATTATACAGCCATGATGTCTCTAGCATTAAACAGATAGGAAATCAAATAAATATTTACTTGATCAGCCCAGGCAAAAGAACTCTAGGTTAGGTAATTGGCAATCTAACTTAAGTTTCCAGAACAAACTCACAGCCTCCCAATCAATTCCCAGAATTGACCCAGTTAAAGACTTGCAACCACTTGGAAGATGGAAAGACCAAGTCCCCTTTAGGAAGGACTCCACTAAAATGCAAAAAAAGCTATACTTTTTCCCCTATCCTCTCAAAGGGATTTTTTTCTTTTTTTTTTTAA